CCCCCCCCCCAGCCTGCCACAGGGACAGGCCCATAGTTAACAGTGACCCAACGGGGACAGTTTGTGCGGCTGGAGAGTCACCGACTGTCTACGGGACAGGACTTCCATCAGCCTCGACCTGTCTGAAGAACCCTCTACCTAGCCGGCCAGCCCCAAAGAACAGCCACACCCTGGGGCAGGCGGCACGCTGTTCTCCAGCCTCTGTTTTCTCACCTGTAAAAGCTGCTGAGGTGTGTGGGAAGGGGGTCTGCAAAGAGCAACGGGGGTGGAGCCCAGCCCACAGACGGGAGCAGAGCAAACTGGCACCCCCAAGGGAAGCACAGGGCAGGTGTTGGTTCCAACCACCTCCAGGGCCCAGGAAAGTGAACGGAAAGAATTCTGGGAAAGTGCTTAGCTCCAGGGTCGGCCCGTCTGACACTCAGTGGCCCCCCCAAGGGGCTGAGTGAGCACAGGGCCCAGCCCCCGCTCGCTGCTCCACCTGCCAACACATGATGCCAGGATTCCATCAAGCCCAGCACAAAGTAGGTGCTCCGTAAACACAACAGCTGCCTTTTGTCTTCGGAGTGGAGTGGTACGGTGCTGGGCACGTAGTGGGGCCTCAGTAAAGGGAAGCCCGCAGCTTCTGTCATAAGCTTAGCCCGTCAGTGGGCACACAGTAGGCGCTCACAGCACACAGGTGGCTGTGAGGGCCATTGTTCTGTAAAGCCCAGTGCTTGGTGCATGGAAAGGGGTCGGTGTTTGCTATAAAGAGGTTGGCCAGTGCACACAGTAGGTGCACTGATGGGAGGCAGTGTGTGTCCAGAAAGGGCCTTGCATGGTGCCAGGTACACACTGGTTGCTCAAGATGTGGACGTATTATCTGCAAAGCCCTTGGCACGCTGCTTGCACACAGTCAGTGCTCAGTTATAAATGACAAAAGCCTTTCACACAATGCTGGGCACACCATTGGTGCTTAATGTACGGAATCACTGTTGGTATATAAGGCCTTTGCCACAGGCACACAGTAGGTACTTAGTGCATGGGGACTGACAGTTTGCCCAGTGGAGGTCTCAGTCCCGCGCTTGGCACAACACTGGTGCTTAAGAAGTCACTAAGTGATTTGTAATAAAAGGCTCTTCATAATTGCCTAGCACACAGTAGGTGCCGAATACACAGACACTTGCCGTTTTGAATAGAATGCATAGCACGTTGTCAAGCACACAATAGGTGCTTAATGTGTTTGTGTGGGGGGTGTGCATTGCTGTTGCCCATTAAAGCGTTTGACACACAGTGGGTGCTTAGGATGTGTGGTGACAGCTAACTTGTGTGATAGGGTGCTTTGTGATCACCTGGCACACAGTAGGTGCTTACTATGGGGAGGGGTGCTGGGGGCGGTTGCTGTTCTCCAAGGAAGCGCCTAGCACAGTGTTTGACACCCAGTGGGTGCTCAAGAATGGAGGACACATTCATTGTCACAAAGAACATTTCAAGGATGCTTCTAAAGCGCACAGTCAGTGACCCGCTAATCATCACACTCCTCCAGGGAAGGCTGACGTCGTCAAGGATTTCCTCTTGCTTGGAGCCCCCAGTCGGTGCTCACAGAAGCAGCAGTCCAGCATTCGAGGGAGGCGGTGGCGTTGGGTACGGCTGCGGCCCGGGACCTCTGTGTTATTTTGAGGACTGACCGCGCCTGACCCTGGCCGTGGCATTTTTGATGACTTCATATGGGCGTGAACGCCGGGCATGGAACAAAGACGGAAGAAGAATCGATGTGTTTGAATGATGGTGCTGGTGAGGAGCGCTGAGAGGACTAGGGACTGCGGGAGCACAGCCACATCTGTGTGGGAGGAAGTGTGGCCAGACTGCTCCTTAGAAGCAAGGAGGACCAGGCGGCGAGGAAGAGGAAGGCCCCCCGCTAAGACGGATGGACACAGGGGCTTTAAGGGCTCCGCCGTGGGAACCGTGGGGAGGATGGCACCGGGCTGGCTGGTGTTTAATTCTGTTGCATAAGGGGTCCCTATGTCAGGACTGTCCGGGTGGCACCTGACAGCAGCAAACAAGGAAGGTGACCCGTTCATTCCAAAGGACTGACTTCAGTCCGCACCGGCCGCCAAAGACAAAAACCAAGCAATGGCAGGTTTTTGCCAGTTTATGCAGTCTGAGGTCAGACATCCAAGATAATCCTAGTGACTGGACTCTGAACTGGGACTAAGGAAGGAGGACTGGCCATCAGGAAATAAGGCCGTGGCGACAGTTGCCCCACCCAGAGAGCCGTGGAAAGAGCGGACGAGATCAATTGCATCACTGGAATGAGCTTTTCCCTTGGCCCACACATACAGCCATCA